TAGTCTTAATTGATAATTATCTTTTTTTTTATGAATATGAGTTTGCTACAAATAAATTGGTGGATTTTTGCTCTTAATTGAATAACTTTTCATGAAACTTTTTTTTTGCAATTTATTATATATCTTTAGTATTATTTTAGTTTTAATATTTGTTTTTAATTGTGTTTCATTCTTATTTTTGTTTCTTATTAGTTTATTTTTTGTTTCACATTGATTCACTTTTGTTTCACTTTTGTTTCCAGTTTTCTTTCCTTTTTGTTTTTAATTGTGTTTCATTTTTGTTTCTATTTTTGTTTTTCTCTTGTTTATCTTTTGATTCTCTTTTGTTTTTCTTTTGTTTCTCTTTCGTTTCTCTTTTGTATTTCTTTTGTTTTTTTTTCTCTTTTGTTTCACTTTTGTTTCCCAATACTTTCACTTTTGTTCAAATTTTCTTTTAGTCTTAATTGATAATTATCTTTTTTTTTATGAATATGAGTTTGCTACAAATAAATTGGTGGATTTTTGCTCTTAATTGAATAACTTTTCATGAAACCTTTTTTTTTTGCAATTTATTATATATCTTTAGTTTTATTTTTGTTTCTTATTACTTTCTTTTTTGTTTCACATTGATTCACTTTTGTTTTCAGTTTCTTTTTCCGTTTCTTTTTCTTTTTGTTTTTAATTGTGTTTCTTATTTGTTTCACATTGATTCAATTTTGTTTCGATTTTGTTTCACTTTTGTTCCTCTTTTGTTTCACTTTTGTTTTCAGTGAATATGAGTTTGCTACAAACATTTTAGTGGAAATTTGAATGAAATCTGTTTCTGACCCTCTAACATTTGATTTTTGCATTTCCCAACCGAACAACGTGCTTTTTTCCTCTTGTGAATTTAACAATTTTAGAATATTCGGAAAGTGCACACAACACAACTCTCTCTTCTTTTCGGTTCCTTTGGATTGAACCCCTCTTCGGGTGGTCGCACCACGAAGAAGTTATGCGTTTCTATAAGGACGAAGAAGGGTTTCCCGCTGCGCGATCTGTGGAAGGACGAAAAAAAATAGGGTTTCTTTTTTCTCTTTCAGCAGAAGAGAAACCAAACCACACGCTGCGACCTCGGAATTCCGCCCTTCATCGCTAATCCGACCACTAAATTTTCCTCGATTCTATGTTTACATATTTGGATGGAAGGTTCTGTTTTTTTTTTTAATTTTTTTATTTGGAAAGTCCTTTAAATTTATTACATCTTCAGGGCACGAACACACACACACATATACAGAAACGAACGGGAGGAGAATTTCGGTATTTATTTTTACCTTTTTCTTTGTATCCTTTTATACGTTTTTTTTGGGGGAAATATTAGGATGTCTTGTAATTGATGTCGCTGCTACCTCCGGTCAAAGCGTTTTTCATCCAAAAAAAAAAAACCGTCGTCTCTTATGATAAATCTTCGACGGAGGAAACGGTGGAAGAAGAGGAATATCATTACCGGATTTTAGAAGAAAAAAGAACTTTTCACTGCACGATCTGAATATGAAAAGGATTCTTTTTTCACGTTCCAAACATTCAGGAGAGAGAGAAAAACATGAATATTCATTAATGCAAATTTATGATCAAATTACACGAAAATGAAAACTACCACAATAATACTTAACAACTCATGTATTTCTATATAGTTTTAGCTTCAATTCGCTTGTTTTAACTTACATCTACCTTAAGTAGTTTTCTAGTTATGAGCTAATAACTAATACTCAACATTTCTTATTGTTTCAGTCAATCTGCTGGAACACGTTCAGAGAAGATAAGCGTTTCTGGTAAGTCATATAGAATTGTATGCTTCCTCAAGACAAATGGTTTTCCTTGACTTTGAAACCGATCAATCAATTCCCAACCCAAACTAATTATCTCACCTTTTTTTCTCTTCTTTTTGTAGGTTTACTCCGGATATACTTATGGAGAAGGTGCCGAAGCTGAGGATGATCATCAACCTGACGAACACGGACGACGGAAGATACTACACGTTCAAGGTAAACACACTCGTGCACTTATTTTGTTGTTTTAACGGCTCGAAAGTTATCGTAAAAGAAAAGTAATGAAGTGAATTGTCGGAAGAACGTTATTGTCGATCAAAGACGGCCTCCATTGTTCGAGGTTTTTTGATTTACACGTCGAGCGGCCGTAAAATCGGGTAAATATTAAAACTTCGATGTAGTGAAGATCGTAAGAAGTAACAAAAACAAAAAACTAAACCATCTAGATGGCCTTTTTCATATTGACTTGTACAGATTTATTGCGTCGGCCGTAAATTATACAATTTCATACTTTTTTCGTTTCAAAATGTTTGTTTCCTTTCTATTTTTTTATAGTTTATTCATCCACCCACGTTATATAAAAAAACCAACATAATTACAACTCAATTCGATGCTTTTTTTTGAGTCATTTTTAAAGACGTAATTTTCATTTGTAATTTGCCAAATACCAAAGTTTGTTACTTAATTATGAGAAAACCGTTGCAGCTACAAACCTATATTTACGCTTATTTTTATCTCTGTATATTCAAGATCAAGATTCATGTTCAAATTTCTTCTGGGAGCTGGTAGTTGAGAAAATACATACCATTTTCAAACACGTTATTTTCCTATCTGTAATTTGCAAAATACCAAAGTTTGTTACTTAATTATGAGGAAGCCATTGCAGCTACAAACCTATATTTAAGCTTATTTTTATCTCTCTCTATTCAACATCAAGATTCGTGTTCAAAATTCTTCTGGGAGTTGATGGTTGAGAAAATGCAGACCATTTTCAAAGACGTTATTTTCCCATCTGTCATTTGCCAAATACCAAAGTTTGTTACTTAATTATGAGGAATCCGTTGCAACTACAAACCTATATTTGCGATTGCTTTTATCTTTGTACATTCAAGATCAACATTCATGTTCAAGCTTCTTCTGGGAGTTGATGGTTGAGAAAATACAGACCATTTTCAAAGACGTTATTTTCCCATCTGTCATTTGCAAAATACCAAAGTTTGTTCATTAATTATGAGGAAGCCATTGGAGCTACAAACCAATATTTACGCTTATTTTTATCTTTGTACATTCAAGATCAAGATTCATGTTCAAAATTCTTCTGGGAGTTGATGGTTGAGAAAATACTGGCAATTTTCAAAGACTAGATTTTCCCTAATGCCTGAAACCAAACATACACACGACTTATATATTTGGTTGCCTACAATAGACAAATTTTGAAAAAATATCAAAAACTTAAAAATTCGTCATTTCACACATAAATATTATACAATCTCTGAAGATCCTCTTGGCTATTAGCAATTAGTGCTAAACGAAGACACTGCATGATTTCTAGAATTTTCCATAGTGATTGATGGTTGTTGACATGTTGCACTGGTACTTGTCGAAGAGAAATGTGATGTTCAGAGAAAATTTATCCATACAAGAAAATAGAAGAAGGAAGCAATGAAGCACATTCTTCATTATGTTTGCATTCAAAACATTGCAGAATAAACAGGAAATCCAATAAAGACCATCGAAGTTAACTTATAACAGTAGCTGTCACACTGACAGCTGTCAGAATGACAGTTCGCTCATTCACCCATACGTAATATGTTACGTTGCTAAGCGACCGCAGCTCAGATACCTCCTCGCTACTCCTAGTCTCTTGATATAAATCGAAATTTTCAGTCATTTTTGAGATTTTAGGGCGTTTTGATTCGCGAAAACCGCGGACACTTTAAAGCTTAATAACTTTCTTATTAATAGACCAATATTAATGTGTTTTATAGCAAACGAAAACGAAAGAATCATTCTTTACAAACTGTAACTGTAATTGAAATTAATGGATCAAAACTCGTGCTAATTAAACCATCAAATACGCAATATAAAGCTAAAACTACAACCTTTCCAATGAGCCAACTACCGTTATTTGTCGGTGCATCTACTATAAGTTATCAAAATAAAGTATTTCAGTTTTTAATTAGGTCTTCAAAGAGAAAAGAGATCAAGAAAACGAAAAAAAAACAAAGAGGATTCGAACCGTCTAATCTAATCCTTTTTCAGTCCCATCCTTCGACTTAATTGCTTTACGTCGTGTCATTTTCAATTTCTCTCTTTTTATATAAACGTAATCTACACTCGCGCACTAATAATACACGCACATATTCATAAGTGGATGGTTTTTATTAATTGGTTTCAAAATTTTGATGTGATTTTTAATTGGATTCCTCTGTTTGTAAATTTATATATTTATTTGTTTTTGTTTTTCAGGATTTCACCGACCACTCGATCGAGGTCCACTCGTTGAAGTGTTTGGGACACGGGAATATCCCCCAACGGAATTTCGTCAAGAGGTGAGTTAATTACAGAACGAAATGTTTTCACTTCTCCCCCATTTCCTTCCGGTCCTTTTCCTCTTCCTGTCTACCAATTTCTGCCGCAGACGATTCTCGAGTCTAATTCGCTGTTTATTCAACTTTGATATGTTTTAAAAAAAAATTACTGTAAAGTCGTTTTTTTGTATTGGATGAAGAGGTTTGGATCGAAATTTGTCTGGTTTTGGACCGTTTTCTTTTCCTGTTTGTTGTTGATGTTGTTGTTAGAGAAGGTGGACGTAAATCGTGATAAAACTGTCTTTGGGATGATCGCGGAATTTGGTTCGTAGCTTATGGAAATGGTATAAACGCTGTAAAGTAATTCTATTAGGTTGTAGAGGCTCCACTTATATTTACATAATGCTTTCATTACCACCTCGCTCCGACCCATTCACTCGCTTCTATTAACATATATACCCATAATGTATGCATTTAACATGTGCACGTACGTACGCACATTTTCAAAGAAGGAGACGGAACGAAGAAACGAACGAGCCGAAGAGAAGAGAAGAGACAAAAACACAAAGAGTAAAGAGATCCTCCTCCTCCTCCTCCTACCTACCTACCTATCTACCTACCAGAAGAAATGTTCACTGCACAACACATCATTGTGTCTGCATTTAAACGATTTAAACTGACCCGAACGTAACGAGAAACGAAAGAGAAACCACCGTTGATGATGATCATCATCATCATCATTGAGGAGGTAGAAAGACAATGCTTATTTTACCAATCCTCCTTCTTGTATCACTCTTTCTCAAGTACTCTTTTTTTCTTCATCTTCTTGTGTGTTTGTTAAAGGGTGCGTACAAGACACCAACGTCGTCGTACATCACGGATTCTCCACGCTCTCTTTATAAACCCTCAAAATACAATGAACTTCTTTTCACAATCCCATTCAACACGAACGTCGAAATTCTCTGATTCACACCGAAATTTTCTTGTCCTGTTCTGGTCGAAATGGACGATTTGTATTCTCCGTTTGTTTCTTTATTACGTAGACGGTTTCTTTTTTATTTATCTAGTATTCAAATTTCTACATATTTTCACGCTGTTCACAACATCTTTGATGACCGTAAATCAACCGGTGTTTTACATATCGAAATTTACCTTTTAGATTCGACTCAACTTTGTTACGGTTTGTTAATTTAGAATCGCAGTAAACTAATTATTTAGTTATGCATTTGTTTCATCAGTTAACTCGATTTCGAAGCGAGTTTCGCGTCGTTTAATTAACTGCTTGAAACACGAAAGTTATGCTGCAGACTTAAACAATTTGATACGTTGAAATAACACTTTTATATTAAATTGATTCCTTATAGTTTCAGCTTTAATTTGTGTATTTTGATTATTATCTACTTAGAGTAGTTCCTGAATTATAGACTGAAATCGACACACACTACATTTACGATTTTTTGCAATTTCTTTGTTTTCAATTTTTAGAGCGAATTATTTAAATAATATAAAAATTTTATAATTATATTAATTCTGTATAGTTTTAGCTTTCATTTACATATTTTGAGAAATATCTAATTTAAGTAGTAATTTAATTATATGCTAAACATACAGAATATTCAATTTTATGTACGAATTGTGTAAAAATGAAAAGTTTCACAATAATACTTTTATACTAAATTGATTCCTTATAGTTTCAGCTTTAATTTGTGAATATTGAGTATTATCTACTAAGAGTAGTTTTTGAATATTAGTCCAAAATCTATATACACTGCATTTACGATTTTATTGCAATTTCTTTGTTTTCAATTTTTAGAACGAATTATTTAAAGAATATAAAAGTTATATAATTAAATTAATTCTGTATAGTTTTAGCTTTAATTTGCACACTTTGAGAAATATCTAATTTAAGTAGTGATTGAATTATATGCTAATAACTAAACATACAAAATTTTCATTTTTATGTGCGAATTGCGTTAAAATGAAAAGTTTCACAATAACAATTTTATACTAAATCGATTCCTTATAGTTTCAGCTTTAATTTATGTATTTTGATTATTATCTACTTAGAGTAGTTTCTGAATTATAGACTGAAATCTATACACACTACATTTACGATTTTGTTGCAATTATTTATTTTCAATTTTTAGAACGAATTATTTAAAGAATATAAAAGTTTTATAATTATATTAATTCTGTATAGTTTTAGCTTTAATTTACATATTTTGAGAAATATCTAATTTAAGTAGTGATTGAATTATATGCTAATAACTAAACATACACAATTTTCATTTTTTATGTGCGAATTGCTTAAAAATGAAAAGTTTCACAATAACACTTTTATATTAAATTGATTCCTTATAGTTTCAGCTTTAATTTGTGTATTTTGATTATTATCTACTTAAAGTAGTTTCTGAATTATAGACTGAAATCCATACACACTTCATTTACGATTTTGTTGCAATTATTTATTTTAAATTTTTAGAACGAATTACTTAAAGAATATAAAAGTTTTATAATTATATTAATTCTGTATAGTTTTAGCTTTAATTTACATATTTTGAGAAATATCTAATTTAAGTAGTGATTGAATTATATGCTAATAACTAAACATACAAAATTTTCAATTTTATGTGCGAATTGCGAAAAGTTTCACAATAACACTTTTATACTAAATTAATTCCTTATAGTTTCAGCTTTAATTTGTGTATTTTAATTATTGTCTACTTAGAGTAGTTCTTGAATTATAGACTGAAATCCATACACACTGCATTTACAAATTTGTTGCAATTATTTGTTTTCAATTTTTAGAACGAATTATTTAAAGAATATAAAAGTTTTATAATTATATTAATTCTGTACAGTTTTAGCTTTAATTTACATATTTTGAGAAATATCTAATTTAAGTAGTGATTGACTTATATGCTAATAACTAAACATACAAAATTTTCAATTTTATGTGCGAATTGCGTAAAAATGAAAAGTTTCACAATAACACTTTTATACTAAAATGATTCCTTATAGTTTCAGCTTTAATTTGTGTATTTTGATTATTATATACTTGGAGTAGTTTCTGAATTATAGACTGAAATCTATACACACTACAATTACGATATTTTGCAATTTCTTTAGAACGAATTATTTAAAGAATATAAAAGTTTTATAATTATATTAATTCTGTATAGTTTTAGATTTAATTTGCACACTTTGAGAAATATATAATTTAAGTAATAATTGAATTATATGCTAATAACTAAACATACAAAATTTTCAATTTTATGTGCGAATTGCGTAAAAATAAAAAGTTTCACAATAACATTTTTATACTAAACTGATTCCTTATAGTTTCAGCTTTAATTTGTGTATTTTGATTATTATCTACTTGGACTAGTTTCTGAATTATAGACTGAAATCTATACACACTACATTTACGATTTTTTGCAATTTCTTTGTTTTCAGTTTTTAGAGCGAATTATTTCAAAAAGATAATAGTTTTATAATTAGATATCTATACTAATTTCAATCCGTATAGTTTTAGCTTTAATTTCAACATTTTGAGGAGTATATACTTTAAGTATTGATTGAGTTATAATCGAAAATGTAAGAGTTATGCAAATTTATATTTTTTTTATTTAATAAGTTAATTAAAATCGAGATTAAGTGGACAAGGTTGCATGCAAATCGTCGAAGCAATAAACGTAACAATATTAAGAAAAAGTCTATAAAACAAGATGAATTATTATTTTTTTATTGCTACGTGTGTTTCTATAAAAACTTTGTTTTTATTACGATGCATTTCGAATAATAAGAAACGAAATCGTCGTTAAAAAGAGAAGAAGTGAAAAATCCATAATAAAATGCGGCAAAGACATCGTCCAAAAATCGAAATGAAGAGGTGGAGGTGAATGATTAAGGACTCGGATGGGAATAGGTGGCGGTGGTTGGTAAAGAAAACAAAAGCAGAGATGAGAGAAAAAACAAAGAGTCATCATCGGTCACTCGATACGCGCGGTTCGTGTTCGGTTTCAAACGATGCGGCTAATAAAATATGTAATATCTAAATTGGTCTTTCACGATTTTCTGACAGACGTTCCACCTCTCTCTCTGTCTCTCTCTTACAGAATGATTCATCAAGCTGCCACCTCTCGGAATCAGGAGGGAACCATTTCCACTCCTCTTCATCATCCCCGACATTCTGTGAAAAATCGTATTTGACGCCCCGGGGTTGTTGTGGCTGTGGTCAAAACGAATGTAAATTAATTTCGGTCTCCTACATATCATTCTTTTCTCTAATCGAAATCGACGTTTTGATTAAGTGTGATTGATACTTCTTCTCCTTCTCCTTCTTCATCTCTCATTTAACATCCGACGAGATCGCATTTGCAGCGAGACGGGTCGTTAAATAAATCCTCGATACCAAAAAAAAACATAATAACAATAAAAAGAAATCCTTTAATTTAATTTACTGCACAGGCGGCGTAATTTATCGTGCGGCTTTTATTATCATTTAAATGGGAGGCGCCTTGTCGTCCTCGACAACAACAATACACATCTCCATGGAAACCATTTAATTTGTTGTTGTTGTTGTTGTTGGCTGACATCTTTGAGTCGGTGTCGCTTCGCAACCCCCAGAGGTCGCCCTTCGAGCTGAAGCTATTTAATGAGCTAATGAACAGATCAGGATTTTACGAGCCTTCGTTAAAATGAACGTACACTCTCTTTTTTTTTTGGCTTAAGAAGTCTGCATTCGATTCCTCATTTCCATTACCTTTCAGAGAATATATACGCACACACACAGTAATTGAGAGATCGCCTTGCAACTTAATTAAACTGTCGTTGAACGTAAATGCATTTTTTTTAACTTTTAAATCATCATCAAGTTTACTAATTGTCTAGTCCGTGTTATCTAATCCAATCAAGTTGGCTAAAATTTTGACATCAATTTATGATGATGAGTGTCATGAAAGAAACGTTACGGTTTTGATTTGTCGCCATTCATTTTGTATTGAGGTTATGTCAGTTTTCAATTGATTATAGTGAAGTGCAAATTACTAAATTTCACTTAGATATACTTTTGTTTCAAAAAACACAAGAAAATGTGAAAGAACCTGGAGGTTGATGGGTTGTGACATAAAAGAAACATTACGATTTTGATTTGCTGCCATTCATTTTCTATTTAGGTTATATCAGTTTTCGTACGGTAATTCTATAATGTAAATTATGAAATTTCACTTAGATATACTTTCGTTTCATAAAACTAAAGAAAATGCGAAAGAAACCGGAGGTAATCGTATCCTACCATATACTTATTTGTGACTTTTGATTCATTTTTTATTGAGATTATGTCAGCTTTCAATTGATAATATTGTAGTACAGATGACGAAAATTCATATTGCTACATTTTTTGCTTCAGAAACAAAACAAAATGCGAAAGAAATCGCAGGTAATCGTGGCTTATCATATAATTTATTGTGACTTTTGAAGGGTAGTTTTAATAATGAGTGTCATAAAAGAAACGTTACGATTTTGATTTGCCGCCATTCATTTTCTATTGAGTTTATTTCAGTTTTCGATTGATAATAGAGAAGTGCAAATTACTAAATTTCACTTAGATATATTTTTGTTTCAAAAAACACAAGAAAATGCGATAGAAACCGAAGGTAATCGTAGCCTGACTTTTAAATGGTCATGTCATCAAAGTAACATTACGATTTTGATTTGCTGCCATTGATTTTATATTGAGGTTTTATCAGTTTTCCTACGATAATTGTATAGTGAAAATTATGAAATTTGACTTAGATATATTTTCGTTTCAAAAAAACTAAAGAAAATGCGAAAGAAACCGGAGATAACCATATACTTATATACATATTTGTGACTTTTGAAGGGTTGTGTCATAAAAGAAACGTTACGATTTTGATTTGCCGCCATTCATTTTCTATTGCGGTTATGTCAGTTTTCAATTGATAACAGTGATGTGCAAATTACTAAATTTCCCTTAGATATATTTTCGTTTCAAAAAACTCAATAAAATACGAAAAATTCGGAGGTAATCGTAACCTGACTTTTGAAGGGTTGTGTCATAAAAGAAACGTTACGATTTTGATTTGCCGCCATTGATTTTCTATTGAGGTTATGTCAGTTTTTAATTGATAATAGTGTAATGTGAATTATGAAATATTATATTGATATATATTCGTTAAAAAAAATAAAACTAAATCGCAAGAAACTGAATGTAATCCGTGAAGGGTAGTTTTTTTTCTTTGTTGAGCAGTCGGCTTCTTGTTAATGGGGCGTAATCGGATTGGGGAATTTGTTTCGGAGAGAGAGGATAAATCAAATCGATGATGCATTTATTCGGGTTGTTTTTCCAATCCGTATCAAAAAGAAGGAGAAGAAGAAGAAGAAGTTGAAGCATCTCTTCATCATCTAATGGAGTCAGGATGAACGCGGACGCCTTTGATTCTCTTAATACGCGTATAATGGGATACGGGGTGGCCCCACTAATAGGTCGGACCGCATCCATCTGAACCGTTTCGATACGTGGGACGTCCCAGAAAGAACAAAAAAGTATAGAAAGATCGGAACAACAATAACAAGAGTGCCGCGAGTAGATCGAATCCCTTAATAGACTTGTTTTAATATCTGTTACACTTTCGATTGCCCTCAAGATCTTACGCCCTTCTTCTTAATGGTAACTCTCTACCGTTAAGTTACGTTACCGCCCGTAATTAACGCCGCCTTTGCTTTTAGTATATACATAAATACATACGCGCATTCTTTCTCATTCTCACCCTTTACTCATTCACTAATTCCATTTCTCTTCAACTTTTTTGGTTTTAAAGAAACGGTCTAAAGCAAATGCACATACAGAAGACGTTATTCGATATTTAGTGAATATACAAACCCGATGTGAAGGAGAGGCGCGAAACACTCGAACCACCCGCGGCGAGTCCTCCTTTGAGAAAACAAAAAAAAAAGACTGTCTTCTTCTTCGTCATCTTTTTTTTTTTTTTGGTGTGTTCCTTCCTTGTGTTTGTTGTCGATGGCTGTGGGAATTGCTTGCTCGCACCGACCAACAAACACACACAATCATTCGCGCTCTTTCTTTTTCATTTAATATTTCTTCCTTTCTCTCTTTCTCACTGTTGCAGGTTCTACCAATTGGTGGACCAATTCTTGAAGAGGGCTTCCGTAACCGGCGACGTTGACGGTAAGTGTGCGTTGCTGTTGTTGTTGTTCGTTATCGCGCCACCTTGATCTTTTCGTGTCCGCGCCGAAACTGATCGCTTGATCCTTAATTGGAGCAGAAAAGAACAAAAAAAAAGAAAACAACCATAGGTAGTTAGTGAACGGACGAGCTTTCAAGTTATATTCTTCGTTATATTTTAATCACCGCTTGTTAGATTTCGAAAAGTTCGGTGAAAAGCACTCAAAATTAATTAATTAAATCAAATTCATTATTGATTATACAAGACATTGCATAAATTGAAGTTTAATTAATAATTAAAGGTTAGATTCTAGCCTATAACCAAATTTAATTTGACACTTGACATTAAACAAATATGACAATTAGATTTTCATTTGTTTTACTCCCAAAATTTTAAATTTAACCCACAATATATCAATTTGACATTATCAAAGTTTAATTTTTATTAATATTTATGTCAATAACTCACTTAAAGTGATTTAATTAAGATATTTGTGTATATTTCTTCATTGAAAATGTACGATCACTGTGATCTGTCACAACTTGACAGTAGACTCAGTTTTAAGCTAACTTATATTAATTTTATCAAAACCTACTTATTACACTTTTTCATACAAATAGATTTAATTTAAACCTCAAATATTTCAATTTGAGACACGCAAATGTGAATATTTCTTAATTAAAAAATGTACATTTTCATAATTATTCTTTCAATTAAAAAGTTAACATATATTAATTTCACTAAAGCCTACTTTTTAATTATTTCGATTATTAAACTTTCTTTTGTTTTAAGCTTACCTATAAATTGATATTACTTACCAAAGCCAACTTAAATTGTTAATCTAATTAGTAAGTTAGCAAGTAACATTTCTCTCGCTCATTTCGAATTCGAATTATTTTTTTTTTCATAAAATTAAAAGCGAATTACGCTAAAATCATAAGTTTCACATGAATATAATTATATTCATTTAAACACTTATAATTTTAGCTTTAATTTGCATATTTTGAATTACATCTACCTTACATAGTTTTCGACTTATGACTTAAAATCTGTATACACTACATTTTCAATTTTCACAAAATTATTTATTTTCTAAGTTAATTACTTAAAAAATTATAAACACAACAATCATATGTTTAATTCCTTATAATTTTATCTTCAATTTGTCTGTTTTAAGCTAACTTATATTAATTTTATCAAAGCCTACTTATTACACTTCTTCATAAATAGATAAATAGATATAATTTAAACCTAAAATATTTCAATTTGAGACACGCAAATGCGAATATTTCTTAATTAAAAAAACGTACATTTTCATAATTATTCTTTCAATTTCTACAATCTGTCACAATTTGACAATTATAAGTTAACCTATATTAATTTCACTAAAGCCTACTTTTTAATTATTTCAATTATTAAACACTCTTTTGTTTTAAGCTTACCTATGAATTGATGTTACTTACCAAAGCCAACTTAAATTGTTAATCTAATTAGTAAGTTAGCAAGTAACATTTCTTTTGCTAATTTCGAATTCAAAATATTTTTTTTTCATTTAAACACACAAATGCGAATATTTCTTAATTAATAAAAAGTACATTTTTATAATTATTCCTTCAATTACTGCAATCTGTCACAATTTGACTAATTTCACTAAGCCTACTTTTTCATATATTTCGATCATTAAACACTCTTTTGTTTTAAGCTTACCTATAAATTGATGTTACTTACCAAAGCCAACTTAAATTGTTAATCTAATTAGCAAGTAACATTTCTTTTGCTCATTTCGAATTCAATTATTTTTTTTCATAAAATTAAAAGCGAATTACGCTAAAATTATAAGTTTCACATGTATATAATTATATTCATTTAAACACTTATAATTTT